AAAAGTATTTAGCTATCTTGCTACATGTAGGAAGTGCATAGCCTCATTCGAATGTTACTGGAGAAGTTCTGTATCAGGGCGCTGTTCAAACAACAAGTCCTGACTGAAGGAGTAAAGTAAGCCACAACAACGGCCAAGTCTTTTACTCACCACTCTCAGTTCAGTTGGTCTCTTGAAGTCGGACGATCCCGTCAAGACATTGTATAGTGTATCGTCGTAATTTACGTTATTTCACCGGCGTTACTGTGATCATCGTCAGTTGCATGGGATGAAATAAACTAACCAAGATGTATTATGTTATGTCCGCTTTTTAGTAAATCTTTATTAGAGACATTTATTTCTCTCAGTCTCTCTTCTCAAAGGAGGACCGTACCAAAATCATAAACTATGAGCCTTTCTTTGTCCATAGATCAGACTAACAAAAGAAAGACTTCTATCAGTCGATGTCGGCGAGGGTTATAATATAATGTCCTGAAACGATGCCGTTAGAAAACGACTACACAATCAATAACCCTCAATAAAAACCGAGTACGTTCGTTCCATTCGGATTGAAACTGTTAATAGTGTATAATTAATTGGCGCACTAATCAATTCAAACTCCGATAGCGGCACAAGTTTGACACTCCGTGTGGAGCTCATCGCTCTTAATTTATTATTATACACCTAAAAGCTAGTATGCAGACATTACTAAATTTTTTATTATAAAACTTTACAAGGTCAATGACACTTGAGGGAGGCGGGGTTAATATTTTGGCTATATAGCGAGTCTCGAGAGCCTCTTTGTTTTGCGAGTTCCCGCCCAGAAATCCAAATAAGGGCATAACGCCCTAATAAACTTAATAGTCTGTTTTAATGAAATAAGCTTAAATTACACAGATATTAAAGGGACACAGTCAGCTGGAGCACATGCGTATTAGATGCCATTTCATAGCTAATTTGCATATCACAGGGACGCAATCCATACTGTTTTTAACCAAATATGATAAAAACAGTATCATAGAATGAGCAAAAGCACACTCAAAAACAGGCTATTCAGTAAACAATTGAAAATCAAGCAAAACACTGTGAAGATTGAAGCGGATGTGCTTTGATTTCAGGTTGAGGTGAACTTTTTTCAGAGTGAGAAAACTAGTGTCCAGGTCAGCGCGGTCCCAAAGCTGACTGTGTCCCTTTAAAGGACTGATATTTTTCCCATTTTGCTTTTGAATTAGCAGACCAGTTTGGTAGCTGCAAACTCGACGTCAGCGACTCAAACCCGGCAGCGAGGTACCGTTTGCAAATTTTTATTTACGCTTAATTTGCAAAGACTTGTTATTTTTTTCAGCCCATTAAACTGTACTAACTTGCGGCCAAAGAGCGAAATTTCGCGTTATAGCGAGTTCAAGGGTCCGTGAAGTACACAAGGGAACTAAATTCCAGCGTGATTGTAGGGATTCAAGCAAACGTTCAACTGAACTGATCTGTTGAGATCTGTAGCGATCAATGACATGTGGCTCGCTCATTCAAACCATTGTAAGGATCCGTGTTTCACGGCCATGTAGCATGAGCTGAGAGTGCATGTGTGTAAATAAGCTTATAAACCAACTGCGGATTGTTATTGCCGAGCAGACATAATTTATCCCCAAAACTTTAAATTGTTCGAAATGAGCGGTCGCCCACAAATTTTATTAAAGTTAAAAGCCTGGTTGCCCGAGGAAAAAAACAACAGACACCGGCAGCCAATAGATAAAATAAATACAGTTAATGAATCTTTCGTGGTGGTTCTAGATTTCAATTTTACTAATCAAACATTAGATACGAAAATTTACGAGAAAAACAGAACATTTCATTCATATCTGAAATTACCAGAAACTATAATCTGACCTGCAAAATCCGCTCCGGCGATGGAATTAAATTTACAGACGGAAAAATTACATGCACGCAATTTCAAAAGTATTTTGCTTATTGTCCTGCAAAATGTAGCATTTACTGAATAAAAAGTTTAGGTACATGTATTTTATTTTAAGAATTGTCTGTCATTAACTTAACAGGAAAAGATCTATCTAACATAGATTGCTTTAAGACTGTGCAAATTTAATACTCTCAATCGGCTTCTATCGATCCGATCACAACCTTGCCATCTTGATAATGATAGCCAGCTAACAATTGTCCAAGTGCTTATCTAATAGAGAAAATACTTTTGTACATAGCTAAAAAAAAAACCTGCCAAAAATGTAAAACAACAAAATTGGAGGGGGGGGGNCTACTCCCCATAATAGGCTCCGTACGAAAGGTGTCCCTTTTTCAGGCTTTAGGTATATTGAAGGGTAGGGATTTCACAAGCTGAGGTATATGAAAGGGTAGGGAAGTCGGAATATCTCCCGCAACAACATGAAATGAACAAATAATACTTGATTTTTGGTTAACATCTCTTCTGGTAATTCTTGATGAAATCCCGTAATATTGTTCATTAACTTCGTTCCAAGGGTTTAGAAAAGTGATGCAGTGCTCTTAGGTATGTGAAAGAGTACCCAGCCCTTTATCAACAAATGGTATACTTAGGGGTAGCTTTTCTGTCAAAATGGTATAGAAAAGGTTAAGGAGTTGGACCTCGAGGCAGAGCCTCCCCATATAAAACTTTCTAGAGCACCACCCTCCCACCCCCCTCCGGCGCAGCTCTGTGTCGCTGGCTCGCAGGCTGGCACATTAGTTACTCGTAATGAAGGCTCAATCAAAATGTACAATTAGAATTTCGTTCATCTCCGCGAGGTATTTAATTATTTTTACTTGTTCAGTATATGCAGAAATTATAGATCAAATTATGCAATGACAATTTATCAATATCTAAAAATAACTTATAACACTAAAGATAATAGAGCTTAGAGTATATTTTCGACGTAGGAATCAGGGGAGTCAGTTGACTTTGCAATGTGAAGTATTCCGTTTCTCAGTTTACCTATAAAGCAATGAAAAATTGTTTTGGTCAACACTTTGATACTTTACTTTGCGGGACAAGGGCTGCACTGGGAGAATATCGGCCTGAGGTCTTTACTGTGCAGGACCGAGTGCAGCGAGGTCCATACAAAAAAGACCGACGGCCGATATTCTCACAGTACTGTCCCGACCAAGCTTGGTCAATACGAGATTTATTACACGACTGAAACTACCAGAAAATCTTCAAGTGTGATCTTGCTGGAATATTCAGGACAGTGCCCGGTCAATACTGAGGAAGTAGTGGATTGATCTGATCGGTTTATTTTAGTTATTGGCTCTCTGAACTAACTTAGTTGTGTAATAATTATGTGTAAATCGGAAGAAGTTCACTTTTTACTTCTGCTGATCGACTACCTAAACTTCAAAATTCTGGATAACTAGTAACTAATTAAGTAGTCATTTTATTTACTGAGGGTAGCACCTAATAGGATCCTAATAGTATACAACACTAATAAACTTGTGGCCCTCAATCCAAAATATTATTTACTAAAATATGGCTATAACATCAAAATGGATATGCAGCATACATGATAAAACCATGAAATACTATATTATGCCTACATACTACGAATTAAAATAAAATTAAATTATCTAAGGGTTAAAATGTGGTAGAAGCCGTTCCAATAAAAATTTGCGGCGCAAGGCGTTTCTAAGAGCTTTGACTGTTCCTTGTTTATTAGAACTCTAAAAAGATCCTGCAAAAATCGCTCTTACTTCGAAAGTAACAATACAAATTTAAAATTAATTTGCCAGTTAACGAGGCTCTGTTACTCTGTACGTTAAGAGAACTGAAGTCTGTATCCCACCCAGGCAGGGGGAGGGGAAGGCAAAATTAAACTTGAATCCTTGAAACTATAGCGTAGCAACTTGACTATGCTTAAGGGGGGAACACTGGTCCCTGCCCCACCCCTGATACTGGGTATATTGCCAAGGGTGGCCATTGCACTTACTGTGGGGCAAAGTGCAGCCTGCGTGGCTCTTCCCTGGCACCAGAGCTTTATTTACAAGGCAACTATAATAAGCTGAAAGTAACGAATAGCAACTGAGATGCAGATAAAAAGTTACATTAGCGAAAAGTGATCTACCTTCTGATGAAGGGTAGTTGCAACAACAATACGGTATAGAAGAGGGCAGAGGAACAAAGCTGCCAGTCGAGGGCAGGAGAGAGAGAAGCAAAGAACAACTTAGCTTTACAAGTAGTTCACAGCTGAGACAGGGCCAGAAACGACCGGATTTTACTAAATGGGGCTTGGAAGAGAGCAGTGCTGGGACAGAGCATGATCTCATGTAAGCCTGTATGGGAAACCACTCGGAGCTTTGTCAATATTCATTGTAGTTAGAAATTGACCCTGACCTATCGAACACTCATAGCTGCGAGTTGGCAAGACTAGCTATGAGCCAACAATGCTGTTGATGTGGAACAGAGAGCCCATTAATGACAGATTTAGTGCCTAAATTTCTACTTAAACTCTCCTTAGTTTTATGCTTCATCTACAATGATGTAATTTTGTAAGTTTGCCTGTTCAGACCAAGCTGGATGGCTTGCACCATCCATCTCAGGAGCCAGCTCATTTCCCTCCTCCAGTCTGTGATTTGCTCCACCAATCACAGTTTTGCATTCAGGACACTTGCTTCTCTGCATGGCACCACCACATTCACCTATAGCATAGATATGCCCTTTGGGACACTTGAACCAATGACCTTTAGAGAGACTCATTGCTGACACGATCTCTTTCCTTTCTTCTGATGTCAACGGAGAAAGGCAGCGGTACGATCGTCTGGAAAAAAAATGATATATTTAAAACAATGCCAATTCTAAATGCTTCGTAGATAACCGTAAATTATAATTATTGGTCGCTACCACGTTGTTCTTTTCCAATTCTGTCAAAAACAGGGAACGAAATAAAAATGATGTATAAACGAGGTTTCTCAATCACCTGATTGCTGCTAGCCTCTCCAACAACTCATCGAGTTTTTCAATCTCTATGAGTTTACCGCTGGACAGTTCTTCCCGGACATCTCTCATGACCTGACGAGAGGATTCATCCAACGTCAGGTTAAGCCTTGTGACGTCGTATTCCAGCAAACACAGCTCAAGTTGCACATTAAGCCTGGTGAATTCCAGATTGACGTCTCGAAATTCTCTCTGTGTGACTTCTTCGGACATGAAACGCTTTTTCATGTACACCATCTCCCCCTGAAGGAACTTGCCTGGCCAAAAATTAAAAGAAAATACAGTGGAACCCCGTTAATACGACCACCCTTTGGGTCATGAAAAATTGGTCGTATTAAAGGGGTGGTCGTATTAAAGGGGTTCAAGGGGTTCTTTAAATAAGAACATGACTGACTGAGCTTTTTCTTGGGCCAGAATAAAGTGGCCGTAATAACGAGGTGGTCGTATTAACGGGGTGGTCGTAAGGCGGGGTTCCACTGTAAAACTTGGGATAACCACAAAACTGAGAATATTCCATAACTGTGACATAGGTTACTGAGCGATCAAAAATATGCGAAAATATGCTCTAAACATTAACATCGAAACCTCGGAAAGGGTAATATTGGTCATATGATAATGATTACAGTGTGGTGGGTCGAACGGCTGTCGTTGAAGTATACGGCATTGTCACTTTGTTCTTTGGCAAGGAATTTGAAAATCACTTTCAGAGTGTCTTCATCGAAACAGTTATCTGCTGTAATAATGGGAAGAAGCGAAAAGTCGGGGAACCTGAAAAAACATGCTCAGGGACCCTGAGGAAATTACCGTCCCTATGAGGTTCGATCTTAGTACTATGGAGTCTCTAAAAGAATGACGTTAGCAACAAACATAAAACGGCAAAATTCGCCTCTGATTTCTAGTTTCTTTCTCTTTTTGCACTACGGTAATCCTTAAAGCAATCGAACACTAAGGACAAAAACTCTTATAAGGCTTCAAAAATTACCTACTATTTCAGGAAAAAGGTGGGCTTAATAAACGGAGGTAGCGGAGTGCGGGCTTCTTGAAAATGTTCTTGAGAGGGTAAGAGAGGGGTGCTTCAAACATGAGAGAAAAGGGAAAAAGAGAATTTATGATAACTGCACAAGCCGAAAAGTTAGAAACATGAACGTACCTTCCAAGCGACTCTGCGTGCTTACTTCGCTGCGGGGGACACTAAAAAGATTATCTTTCAGTTTCTGGCTCATAGTGCAAAATCGTTCCATCAGTGTCACTTGGTTCTCGGTCACAACTGCTGATGTTTTCGATCCTTTGGACATTCGTCTCAACCTTCTCTCTAACCTCTCCCACTCCTTCATCTCGTCGTCGTCGTTAAACGTACTCTTTAGGGCTATCAAGCGTGTTTCCAACCTTTCCTTCGTCTTTATCACTTCACCACACTCTCCACGCACCTTCCTCTTCACTTGCTCGATGTCGTGTAGCTGCTGTTTTATGACATTACCGTATCGCAGGCTCCTGCGGATTGCAGTCTTGCAACGGGGACAGGATTTCAGTTGAATCACGTGACGGTCATCTGAGTCATCGTTTGTCGTGTCCATGTACCTAAGAAGCAATCGCATTTCGCTCTTAATAAATTCTGTTGTCTGAATTGTCAGTTGATTCGAGTTTATAAGTAAAACTCTTTGAGGCATCTATTGGTATATCACTGGGAAAAGAAATATTAAGCAAAAAATTATGAATCATTTCAATAAAACCTTGTAAAATATAGTTTTCACAAGCATTCATTTAACTTTGACGGAAAGAATCTTTTATTCACGCGTAAACCTAAAACGATTCTAATTTTCTTCGCAAAAACAGGGCCTTGTTCTCGACATTTTATACTGAGCTAATCACTTACCGTAATGATTCGATTTAGTGCCCGAGTATTGAGTAAGTCTTTGAAGTTCATCAAGTTAAGTAAGGTGTTTGAGCCTCATTTTCCATTAGAAGAGATACACCTATTGTTAATTGTCGGAATGAATCAGTTATGGCGGTACCCGTTTATAAAAAACGCCTTCAAATGGGGAAGGGGTGCGTTTTTAACTTAAGCAAAACGCCTGCTGGTAGGTCAATCAAATTATAAAGGTATCTTAGAAGATACAAGCTAAACAAAGTGCCATAAATACCTGTCAAGATCCGACACGGCGAAGATGTGTTTACAGTCTGGGAGCTGAATGAACAATGCATC